CCTTACACGGAAGTCCAGATAAATGACATCTGTAGCCTTTCCCTTGTCCACTGATTCAGTGGACACTAGGACACAGGGCACTAGGTTGGTCAGGCAGGAGACCTGCCCTTGGTGAAGCTGTGCTGGCTGTCTTGAATCACCTCTCTGTCCTCCACATGATTTAGCACAGCTCCTAGAAGGATCTAGAATGTTTTTGCCAGGCACAGAGCTGAGGCTGACAGGTCAGTTGTTCTCAGGGTCCTCCTTTCTACCCTTTTTAAACATGGGTTTGTACCCATCTTTCCCTTTTTCCAGTCACCTGGGACTTCACCTGACTGTCATGACTTTTCAAATATCAGGAAGAGTGGCTTAGCAACTACATCAGCCAATTCCCTCAGAACTCTGGGATGCTTCTCATCAGTCTCATAGATTTATGTACGTTCAGGTACAAAACTGAGCTTCTCTTACAGGAGGAGGCACTTTGCTCCCTCAGACCCTAACTTGCAGTCCACTCACTCGAGAGGTGTGGGAAGAGAGGTTGCCATTGAAAACTGAGGCAAAAAATGTTACCAAGTACATCAGCCTTTTCTTTATCTGTTGTTACCAGTTTGCCAGCATTGTTTATCAGGGGGGAACATCTTTGATCTTCCTTTTCTGGCTGACATACCTGTAGAAGCCATTCCTTTTATTCTTTTCATCCCTTGCCAGGTTCAGTTCCAGCTTCCCCTTGGCCTTCCTCACCCTATCCCTACATAACCTTCACCTCTATACTCTTCCCAGGATACCTACTACTACTGCTCAATGTGTTTTCACCCAGTTGGCTTCCTTCTCTGTATGTGAGACTGTTCTTATCTAAAAGCCAAATCTAAATTAAAACTAGACTTGGTAAGCAATTCTGTAATGAGCCCTTAAATGCATTTGATCAGAATGATTGTTTCTAGCAGGATAGGTGTATAAAGAGTCATAGAAATTGATGCTGTGTTATGCACATAGAGTAAACCAAGAATGCAGATGGTAACAAACTTGAAAACACGAGGAAGAAGGGGAAACTCAAGATAGTACACATCCATTTGGTGCCTCTACAATGCTGAAACAGCTCACTTTCCTAGTAACTTTACACAAAAAAGATAGCAATTCATTTTATGCGGAAAATATCTTTACTTGATGCTACAATCGTATTAAATGAGTAAAAATATTTCTTGATGTTAAATTTTACTGATTTAAATGTGTCTTCCACAGTTGTGGTATCTAGAAACAAAATAACATGCTGGGAAGGAATGCATGCTGCATGCAGATTTAAACTTAATAGTAGGGAAGATGGCATCAGATGGTATACAGAATGCCTGAATTCAGATATGACTTTAACCTTCAGCAATTTTTGCAATACTGAAAATGCAAGAAAGTAAGGGGGTTTTCCCCCACCCCTCCTACCACCCCTCTCCCAGGGGAGGGAAAACTGCAGTATATAACTAAGCATGGGGCTTTGGGTCTCCTACCAACACACACTTAAGAATGGAAGGTTTTGATGGGGGCATGGGTTCTTGTAAGTGCATGTCCACGTCATACTGTCCAAAGTGCAGCGATTGAAGTACTTGATACTTGTTCTGAAGTGGTTCTGACAGGGTTCTGTTTGATACTTTCAGTGTGGGAAGTTCACTTCCATCCCTCCAACCCTGATCACTTATTTACATGTTCTGAAGATGGATCACTTTGGCACTGGGATTCTTCCACAAATGTATCTGAAAAACCATCTTTTCTTCATCAAGGTAAGGACATTTGAAGTCCATCTGCATTGAATTTGTCAGTGTTCATGACAGTCAGTGTTCTTACATGACCCAATTAATAACCCAATCCTAATACAGAATAATAAAACCTAGTTTCTTTTCTTAGAAAGCAAGTAGTGATAGGCACTTGAGGAAAACTACTTAAAAGGCTAACAGTTGTGTGAGGGTTTTTTGTGGTCTGGTTTTGGTTTTCTTAATGTGCTACACTCTTACCAATGTGTGAAAGGGCACATCTGTGATTTCAAAGAGAGATTGTGTTCACTTAAAAATCATGTGTATGTAGAAAAGACACAGAGGCAGCCTCAATGACATTACTGAGTCTCTGAGGGAGATACACAAAGTTAGAATACCACAAAATTGATATGTTAATGAGATAGTAGAATTAAGAATTTACAATTCAAGGTCATAATTTCATTCAAATTCCAATGAATGAAACTGGATCCTTTTGCATTATGGCAGGATTTTAAAGTTATGATACTGACTTAATACAAACATTTCACATTATAATCACAAAGACTGTTAAGTGCTTGTCACTTCAGACTGTAAACAGTGGGGAAACTTTCAGATGTCACCTGCTGACTTTGGCCTCAAAGTTAAGTTTTATATATGGAAGAGATAGGATTACTGATTTCAAGTTGCGCTCCGCATGTTTTCAGGTATATGAAATATAAACCCTTTAGCATCACTTCAGACACCTGTTAATTTTATGCTGAATGACAGTTCTCAAACTGTGATACTTCAGTTTAAATGTAAAATATTACATGGAAAAAATTCAAAGTCAAATACAGGTATGTCACTTGCTGCAGAGTAAGTAGGGAGGAGGGACAGTAGGGAATAAGTGTTACTGAAGCAAAGCTGAAACCCCCAATAATAGCAAGACACTGTATAAACAGACTTCTGTTCTTCTGTTCTTGCTTTAGTTTCTGGCTAGAAAAACTTGCAGGTACTTACACTGGTGAGATGAGTTCATAGCTGTTGTGATGTATTTGTCTTAACTGAGGTCAGAGCTGGTACTAGGTTTCTGTAGTTAAGTACTTGATTTTTTAAGCTATTTTTTCCTTCATTTACCAAAGAAATGACATCTGATAATTAATCTGAAAACTGACTTAAATGCAAAATTATATTCCTATTATGTCTGTCCCATATCTACTATGTTTCTTCAAATTCTGAGAATACATAAACAAAACTGAAACTTTTTTTCCCCTTTCTTCCCTCTTTCCTTCTTTCAGGAGGAAGAAGTACTACCTATCTTTCCCACAATACCATTAACCAGTCTGTAGTAAGTGCCTGGCTAAGCAACGATCCTACCAAAGACCGCATGGAAATCACCAACTTAATTCCAAATCAGACTTTGTCTGTGAATAGCTTAGATGTTTTAGGACCATGCCTAGTATATGGTACTGACGCAGAGGCTATTTATGTGAACAGACAACTTTTTGCATGAAATGACTGCAGTGTCCCGTTGAAGTACTGATCAACTTGAACTACTGGGAAATGTCAGGTTCACTGTTATTGCTACTCGTTAGTCTGTTACTGGCGGGTGGGGGAGAGACCTACAGCTTGGTCCTGGTACTGCAGAAGAAATGTGAGGTACCTCAGATTCTGACAGCTGTCACTCGCTATTCATACTCTGGGATGGGTAACTGAGCAAGCTTACATGCCGTTTCTTCCCTGCTGCCTGTTTGGATAAGGAGGAAAGTAGTCACTATGGCAAGATTTTTGCTGTAAAGTTATGTCTGTAATACACACACGCATAAAAACTGAAGAAAAGGTAAACCCTGGATTTTTATTTTTCCCTGTAAAGATATTTTTCAAGTATTATTTCTAAAGCAAAACTATGGGGTTCTTTGAAATTCTTTTTATGTCACCTGAGAGACATGGGGGTTTTTTTAAGCAGAGGGGTTTTTTTATATATTTAGGGGAACATAACTTTTAATGTTAGTTCATGAGAACTGGAAGGAAAACTGTTAAAGCTATGAAATCTGAAAGGTTCTGTAAGAATCTAAGCATTCTAGCAACATTATTTTGCATTATATACAGCTTTATTATGGGTGCTGCATGTTAAAACCTGAAAATGCACCAGTAAATTTACCAACTGAAAAGTGGTTTTTATAATTAAGAGGTCATATTTGACAGATGTGTTGGCTGTGTTTTCAGGTGTAAGAATAAGACTTTCTAAACTTGAGACATAGTCTTTGTCAAAATTTCATGTCTGGTCTGTTGAAATCTTGGAAAATTTCAATTTTATGCTTAGCATTGTACCTACCTTTTGTTACAAAGAACCCTTTCTCTTTTTAATAAAAAGTTTTGCACAAGAGTAGTGGTCTGAGTTACTAAATTAATTCAAACAGGTGTGCTTGTACTCATCTTTGGAGAAAGGTAAATAACTAACTCACTTGGACTGATCCTGGGTACGCAATCTGAAGGAGGGAGAGAATCCTCAAGATTTGGGCAGCAACAGGTTACTTACAAGGTTTTATGTGGTATTTTTCCACCATAACCACTTTAGAGTGTATTTTACTTCACATGTGCAAGAATGGCCTTGGTCTACTGTGCAAGAACACCTTACCTGATCCGAATTCCTTGTGTCTGGCTTCAGGAGCTGGGTGACAGGGCTGTCCCTCCTTCATCGGGCAACGTATGAACTTGCCAACGGGCTCGTTAGAGCAGCTTAAATTTTGCTTCTCGGTTTGTTTGAAATGCAAAAGATGGAAATTAAATGGATGAAATGGAAAGAAACGGTCGAGATGGGACTCTGAGTGATAACCGGTGGGTGTTCCTTCCTGTCGGTCCGTAACGAGGCCATCGTTCGGGCAGTAGCTGGATCGGGAGGCTCGTCAGAGCTTTTTCACCCCCATGAGGCGATCGGGATTTGTCCATCGAGCTCAGCATTGCCACGGGAGCAACAAGCATTGCCTGAAGCCCGGCAGCGGCGGGGGGTGCGTGTTGTGTGTGTACTGTGCATGGCTGCGCCGAGCGGGCTCGCAGGGGTTACAGGCGCTGCCGCTCCCCGCCGGGGCGGGCGGGAGCCGCCGCAGCTCCATCCGGGAGCGGCAGGAGCCGCGCGAGGCAGGCCGGGATCTGCCCATATCCGGGCGGCTCCGCGGCGGGGACACCGACAAAATGGCGGCGCCGAAGTGAGCGGCCCGAGGCGGCGGCGGGCGCTGGCGGAGGCACCGAGCGGGCGCTGCGGCATCGCCGAGGGGCGGGCGGAGGGAGGGAGAGAGGGAAGGGCCGCGGCCGGTCGTGGCCGCGCGGGCGGGGCCGAGCTCCGGGCGCCCGGGGCGCCGCCGCCGCCGCCGCCTTCTCGCCGCAGGTACGGTCCGCGGTGTCGCGGTGGGGGCGGCGGCGGGACGGGGGCGGTACCGATCGCGCTCCGGCGCGGCCCGGCCGGGCGGTTCTGGGCCCTTGTCAGGACGCGGCCGTGGCAGGAGCGATCTCGGGTCACGGCCTGGGGCCGCAGGGGCGAGAGAAGCGCAGGTGTCCCAACAGGACTTTCGGGATACTCATCCCGGCGATGAAACCCTCCTGGCCTGCGTGGTCCTTGGGTGGCTGGTTCCTGCAGCGCTGCAGGAATGACCTCGGTGCCAGCCTGAGCCACCTTGGTCCTCAGAATGTTGGTCCTGGTAGTGTTAGCCGCAAAAGTCTCTCTCAGGTACGCGTGCAGTAACTCCTGCTGCAGGAATACGTGTGCGTAGAAGAGCTGTATCCTGTTGGAGGAGATAGCAGAGCGTGAGAGATGAAACAAGCCGAGCGAATGCACAATGTTCATCTGGTCACTTCAGCTCAGGCTTCCCTGGTCGTATGTAGTTCTGTTTATGTGCTATTTCAGGGTTCAGTTTTCTCCTCATTCTGTGGAAACTTTTAGCATTGGAAGTGCATCCTTTGGCAAATTACTGTTAGAGCTCGATGACTCGTTACCTGAAGAACAGCTTCCTTTTGTTGGTTTGAACCAAGCCCCCTACAAACTTAATTTTATGACTTCCAAAGTCTTGATTACTCTCTTTTTCCCTAGCAACAAAGTGTTGTGATTATGTATACAATAAGATATTAGAATAGGTACATGAGAGAGGGTACCAAAATAGATTGATATGTGACATTCAATACTTGCATGTAAATATGAGTAATTAAATTATATTCAAAACTTTTGGAGATAAGAAATGCTAGAGTTATAAAGCTGTGTATTTTTCCATTAGAAAATCTTGGAGGTCACTGACAGTTGTTTGCAACCGTTCACGAATCATAAAATGGTTTGGGTTGGAAGCGAACTTGGAGATCATCCAGTTCCAATCCTGCTGTTGCGGGCAGGGATGCCTCCCACTAGACCAGGTTGCTCCAAGCCACATCCAACCTGGCCTTGAATGCTTCTGAGTTTTCATTCAAACACTTGTTTTTAAATCCAGTCTTTAATGATTATAGTGTAAAAAAAACAAGTTAGGGTTTTTCTCCTTGCAGTTTGACCTGTAGAAGAAAATGCTTTATCCCCACATTTTGAAAATAAATTAAAGATATCATTTTTTAAACTCCTTTAGGGAAGTGGAGAATTGCATCAGCAAAGACATCTGCATTAACAAACAAATCATTTAATGACACAAAACTGCAAGGGGGAATAGACATCAGTTCCCTTGGATGCAGTTGGTATTTGCTAGTTAGAAGTACAAAACTGGAATCCATTTCTTATTCAGCAGTCAACACTTTCTTGCTTTAAAGTGTGTGCAAATGTCTATTAGCAGAAGTGACTTGTGAATTTTGAGGTTCATATATAGAGCAAGGTGAACTGTAGTAAATCTTGCTCTCTGGAGGACCAATTTTGTTTGATTTCTGAGAATTAAGACTTAGTTTCACATGCACATCAACTGCTGATACCCATCAGTGCTGCCAAAAGAAACAACCCACCAAAAAAAGTTACTGTTTATTTGGGTAAGTTCCTTAGCTTGGTTCACACTGTATGGCCTTACAAACAATTATGCTGTCAGTGGTAAGTGGTGGAAGATAAGTGGCCTGGCTGGTTTACACTGCTAAAGCTATGCTGCTGCTAAAAATGTAAGTGAAAGTGCAGCTTTATTTTCCAAGGCTGCTCCTGATTTATGGTTTACATGTACTGTTAATTTAACCTTGATTTCTCTTAGGAGTATTAGATTTGACTATCTCAGCTATCCGAGGTGTCATCATAAATGAATATTGAAATACCAGATAAAATATGTAAAATATGTAGGTGTAAAACAGCTATTTTCTTTTAAATTCCAGGCCTTTGGAATTTGTTAAAAGCAATAACTCATGTATGGACATTTTTTTCCACTGCTCATTGGTATATGTGTAACACAATACCAAGTGGTTTTGCCTAGATTATGCTGCCAGTGGTGGAGTAGTCATTACTCCGGACTGAATTTGAACAATATTTTAGGTTACTAAGTCTTTAAGATATTTTGCCTTGTTGTCCTGTGTTCTGGGATGAGTTTGTGCTGAAGGTTTCACTTTTCTGGAGGTGGCGTATATCCTGGCACTTGTGTTTCTGACATGTGTTCTTTTGAAGAAGGTCACTTAAAAGGAAAAGGAACATCCATAACGAAACTAGTACAATGGTCTAAACATACTTACTTCACTTTCTTTGGAAAAAGTGTTTTTGGCAAAGTATTTTCAATGTGATCTTAAGTACAGCGTGTTTTGAAAATGATTTTGAAAGTGGCCAAAATTACATTATATTTTAATTGTGCTCATGCTGTACTTTCAGCTGATTTCTGAATTTCTTAATACTTGGATCAAAGCTTCACTGTTAATTATCACAGTTCACTCACGTCTGATGATCTTGTCCTTATTCAGTGAGTACTGAAGAATTACATGGTATTGGACCATATGATAAAGTAGTATAACTACCCCATTACACTCATTTAAGGTTTCAGACCTATCACAGGGCAAAGAAAGCTTGTGGGTGCGGTTATACCTCTTAAGATTTAGATAATTTTATAAGAGAAATTCTGTTATTTCTTAAATGATTCTCAAAGGAGAATGAGATTGAGCGTCCGTTGTGTTTCTTTTCCTCATTTTTGTATTAGTTCCCAGCTTTCAGGTTTTATTTATATATATCAGTAGCATGTATCTTTAATTTATATGATATTTATGTGGTTTGCGGGTTCTTCTTCCTATTAACTTGTCATTTTCTTCCTCAATCACTGAATCATTGATTGTTTTATGACAGTGCAAGTATTATAGAAGTGAAACCTGGATGAAGAGTGACTTTTTTGCAGACTGTGTAAATTTATGTCTAATTTATGTTTAATAAATTAATTTATTAATTTATGTCTAATATAATTGATTTTAATTAGACCGTTTAATTTATGTCTAATATGAGAAGCGCTTATCAACACAGTACTTCTTTAAGAGACAAAAGATGCTTGCAGATGTCTGAATCCTAAAAATAGTCCTTCAGAAAACAAGGAATGCAAATTTTTAACACTTTGAGAAGCAGAAACAAAATAAGAACGTTTCAGTATTGCTAGTTAGACATTGCATGATAGTAAAGCTGAAGTGTGAGTTGAGCTTTACCATTTTAGTTGCCTTTGAAGAAAAGACAGTGCTGAAATATTAATTTTTTTTGTCTTGCAGCATCTTAGTAACTGATCTTCCTCTGTGAAGCAGTAGAGACTGAAAAAGTTTTATTTCATGATACTCTAAAGAGGCAAATGCTCTGTAACTTCTTCAGTGTTCCACTCTGGTTGCTCTATCCTTTGCCACAGCGGTTGCAGTACTAACCAGTGCTCGGCCTGAATGCAGAGATTTGAGTTCTCTGCAGACACAGGGCTCTTTCCCTGATGAGTCAGTGCCTTCAAAATGCAAACGTTTTTTATTTGGCTTTTGGCAGAAAATTCTGTTTCCCTTACCAAATGTCATAGCTATGCTCAGTGAATTTGATGCTTAAATTGTTAAACAATTTTACAGTAAAAAAATTTGATTCAATTTTCTTTATTTCTTCCCCTGCTCTCATCTTCCCTTATGTAAAATAAATTTTAAAATTTCTTGACTATTGACAAAGCCTGATTCAAGGAGACTCGAGCTGAGACTATGACAGCCCTAGAAAACTGAACCCTTAAACAGATTTAAATGGCAGATGGTACAAGAAATCATAAAGTCGCATGTGGTGAGCTAGGCAAGTGTTTACTTTTTACATATGTGACTGCTGAAGAATGGATAAAATCATTGTAATTATGTGCTCTTACTGGTGTAATCCATCTATTTGTGGAGCTTGATGTCAGAATTGTTGAACAGCAAGGGTATTTGGTCCATATCCTGGCTACATGGGTAGTAGAGTTGGCACTTTTGGCTATAAAGGTATTGATGAAGAGAATGAACGTGGGTGACAAATGGGGACAGGACACAGCAGAAAGCAGAGGCAAAGCAGCAGTGCTGGGGTAGCACACACAGCAGCAGTTCATATCTGCTCTTGAAAGCTTTGTCCACCATACAGAGGAGTTCCTCTTTGTCCATGCCCTTTGCAATTCAGGACTGTTCAGACTTAAGGCACCTAAAACGTTTGTTGCTAAAAGCCCAACACAGTTTGTAAATTAGGTTGAGTAAAGACTGCCTGAAGAATTTGCTTAGCAGGCTTTTAGTATCTGTGAAGGAAGTGCTACATGTGAACATTTCACTGCCACCAAAGCTACATTGTGAGGTTTTTTTTACTGCTGTATATATAACGTGATTCTTTCTTGTTTTGTTTTGCTAGCAGAAATACCGTTTTGGGTTGTGATGAGCTCCAGCACTACAGGAACCAAGGTTTCACAGTGAAGAGCCACTGCTTTCACAAGTTCTGACACCAGCCAGTCTTCCTTGAATTCTGGTGTGTGCAAGTCCTTGGTGGAGGTTGCATATATACATGTTTTCATGAAGAGAAGTGAGAAACCAGAAGGTTATAGGCAAATGAGGCCTAAAACTTTTCCTGCCAGTAACTATACTGGCAGCAGCCAGCAGATGCTACAGGAAATACGAGAGAGCCTCAGGAATTTACCTAAACCCTCCGATGCTGCTAAAGCTGATCACAGCATGGGCAAAATGTTATCTGAAGATCCTAGGCAAGGTCGAAATCCTCCCAAATTTGTAACATATCATAAAGTTTTGCAGGAGATAAGAAACTCACTTCTGCCTTTTGCAAATGAAGCGACCTCAGCTGTCAAAGGAACATCAGAAGTTAATCGACAAATGCTGCAAGACTTACAAGCTGCTGGCTTTGATGAGGTGAAGTGTTTTATTTTGGAGATTTGGTGTTCTGCTAGCTATAAACTATCAGTGTATGTTGGAGGGGGTGGTGGTCAGGGAATATTTGAACAGCTTGACAAGCAAAAGAGCGTCTTCAAAATCTGATAGGTTTCTGATTAGGGAATGAAACTGGTAATAGTGGGGGATGTAGAAGAGGAATAGAAGGATTTAGAGAGGCTTGGGGTTTTATTAAGCATCTTGTGCAGATTGTTCTAATGTGATAGGTCAGTCAGAAAGGACTGGATTCTCTAGAACATGGATTTTGCCTCTGATACTCAATGGAATTTTGGATTGCGTTCAGTTAAAACAGGTTGATGCAATATGGCCATTCTAAATTGAAAGGCAATACCAAATACTTTGGAAATTAATCTGAAATGTGATTTCCAGGAAGAAAAAATGAATACATTTATAGTTCCTGTGTTTTTACTGGGACTTGCATATCAAAGTAAATCACACTCGTTTTCATGCCTTCTGTGTAAACCTGGGTACAAAAGGAGGTTAAAAAAAAACTAGCAAACCACTCATCTTTCTAAAGGAAAAAGGCACAGTACCAGACAGGGATTAACTTTACAGGAGTGTACTGCTTGCAGTAGTGACCAGCTCATGAGTTCTGCTGTCTGGGATGCTTTGGTATTTGCAGAGAAGATCTACCTCTACCAAGAGTGAGCTGCTCCAAGAACTGGCTTTTCCTCAACAATGTCCCAGTGTCAAGTGTTGATAGTGATTTTTCATGTTCCTTTTGCTTGATCAAATACACAGTCCAGTCAGTCTGTGTGTCAGGAAGAATGGAAGGATTTCATAATGATAAATTATTTTTGCAATAATTTGTGCCTGCTCTCTGGTTTGTTGCTGAGGTTGCTTTTTTGTTGTTGTTGTTTTCGGATTTTGGGACGGCAGTGTGGGGGTGTGCATTTTGTTTTTTCAAAGTAGATCAGTTCTTAGATCCATTTTTACAGATTGAACTTGCAGTCATTTTTGCAAACTGAAGTTTGTGGTATGTGGCTGGATAATAAAACAGAAAGGTATCTTAAGTTTGTATTTTTGTTGGATCCTTTGTATCTTGAAGCCTTTTGCTCCTGCCCTTTGTTCTTGGATGGAACTGAGAGTTCCCGTGACACTTTGATTGTATGGAGCTTTTTTCAGGCAGAGTGCCAGTGAGAGCCGTTTCTGCCATGTGTTAACCTACAGTTGCATTGCCACAATAGCCTATATGGCACTGATCCATGTGTGCATTAGGAACAGATACAGATGAAATCAGAAAGCATTTTTCTTGGGGGGAAAGTTTCAAAATGTATTGAATTTATATTTTACCTTTTACTTTTTAAAATATATTAAATGTCACAAACATTCTGGTTATTTTCTCCCCATTCCTCAGGTAGTAGATAATATTGAGGGTTAAAGTGGAACAGATAGATATCAATCAGTATCAGGTATGTCTGTACATAGATTTTTTGGTATATATATATATATGCATAATAATTCAGGTAGAATGCTGTTCATGGTCTTTGTTTTTTGTTTGTTTGTTTTTAAACAACATCCTAAATAGCTTACAGGAAATCTCTTCTACTTATTATGATTCAAGTTCAGTCCTCAGAAGTTCTGTGTAAGGTGATACTCTTTCAACACATTGAATACTTCGTGTCACGTAGGCGACCAAGTTTTTTGTGCTTCGGCTAAAGGAGATAGAGATCCTTTGGCTCTTACTCAGATCCTCTGGTTAGTGGGGAGGGAACTAAATTTTATCTCTTAAAATATTGCTGGTTTTGTACTTTGACATTCTGTGAGTCTTTATGGCCCGGTGATGCGAACCTGTTGATTTAGGTCTCTGTATTGTAGAATTACTTGGCTAAAAAGACAATAAATTTGGGGTTGAAGCTGATTAAGAAAAATATTAAAGTCAATAGGTAGAAATTAATGATGTATCCTTTAAAAATATATTCAATTTGAAAATTAAATACCCTGCACAACTTAACTTTCCATTTGCACAATGGTCAAATAGCTTACCGGTGCTGAAAATGTACTTCTTGCCACAGATAGTCTTGCCTATAATAGTAAAAGTGTTGCAGACATAGCTGTCTTGTGAAAGAGGTATGAGATCAAAAGTTGTATCTGATTTTTCCAACAGTATCAGCTGGTCAGCTGGTAAAGATTGGGACTACCTTATTGTGTAGATTTTTCTATTTTAAAATCCTTTTTTAAGGTTCTGTTTTGTTTACGGAATGTAGTTACTGTTTCTGAAGGTTGTATGTAATTTTGTATGTTTGAGTGTTAGAAGTGTACACAGGCATAATGAAAGTATAAATGTGGGTTTGAATTTGGGATTGGTACTAAGTGCTTCCCTTCTGAGCCCTCTTTGGTGTCCCATTAGTTTGAGTAGGAGGTGGATGCTGTCGTATGTTTGTAGGTAACGGGTTCAAACATCGTATGAACCAAAATGATTGCTTTGATATGACAAAATATGGCCATAAATCTTTAAAGTCAGTGTGCTTAGCTATAGGGAGTTATGCTGTGGCTTTGTCTCAAAATCGTTGGATCAGCTGTACAAATGCCATTCAGTACCACCTCTGGAATTCTGCCTCTGTTGCTTGACCTTACCTCATTCAAGTCTGTGGAAAAGCCACTGGTCCATAATATATTTTATGTTGACTGAGCTGGGATTGTCTAGCAGATCAGAACTTGTGTTTGCATGTCTAAGATCACAGAGCCTAAATCTACCACAGAAAGAATAGAGTTTCTGCCAATAACATTGTCTTCATCAGGAACTTAGACTGGAAGGGACCCATGCCCATTCTGTAACTAGCTGTTACCTGGGCAGTGCACAGCAGTAATAAATGCTGTTGTATAAGCAAGCTGTTGTACTGATAGCAAGATGACAAGATTTACATCAAACTGCAGTGCTTTAACACAGTAACTTTTTTCTGAACATCCAGAAATGTTCTGAACATCTGAACATTTTGAAGAGTCTGTTGTGGGGAAAACATTTTAAAATTAGTTTGAAAATGATTGAGAGAAATCGGTTATGTACTTTGGTAAAATTACTGGAATATGTTTGGCTAAATAAGCATGAATTTTGGTATTTTTTGTGATTTTCTTGTAAATTATTTTTTGTATATAATTTTCTCTTTAGGATATGGTTGTACAAGCTCTTAGACAAACTAACAACCGTAGTATAGAAGCTGCCATTGAATTTATAAGTAAAATGAGCTACCAGGATCCTCGTCGGGAGCAGATGGTTGCAGCAGCAGCAAGACCTGTAAATGCAGGTATGAAACCCCCAGGTAGGTGTATCCATGGTGACTCAGTAACTCACTGAGTGTATTCTCCTAGATAAAAAATATAGTAAATTCTGCCTTCGTGTGCTCACAGTGCAACAGAGATGCTGAGATACAGGGGGGTTTGCCTTTAAAAATCGCATTTTAAGGATATAATGTAGTTCTTCTAAAAGGTAGATCCATTTGACATGAATTTCTTAAACATTTGTTTTTATAACTGCATGGTTTTATTATTGTGTGTAGACAAGGAATGGCATTCAGATCTCATTTTAGTAATTTTTGTCCCTCATTGATGTAGTGCCTGTATTTTGTTCTCAGTGTCAGGTAGAAATCAGTGGTGAGCATTAAATTCTTATTTTAATTTTTTGTCTCTCTTCACACACTCACCCACACAACAGCACTATGTATGTGTATTTTTGTGTACATGTGTGTGTTTGTATTTATATAGCATATGACTACAATATTTGTATTTTAGGATGTTCTATTTGCTTAATTTTCTGCTTGGTTCCAGATTTTGTTTGTATGGTTTGTAAGGCAGACTTCTTGTTTTTGGAAGTGTTAGAGGACAGGCTATAGCTTTAGTAACAGAGTCAGAATTTTGCCACTTGCTATTATTGCTTTCTTTAAAGATGGAAGCACATTTTTAATACATCTTGGCCTAGAGCAAGGGTAACTTTCAAATGCAGCAGAAATACTGAACTTTTATTTGACTAAAGTTGGGTGCTGAACTGCTGGCTCTGGAGTTAGATTTTAAATTAACAATATAGGTATGAGGAAAAATTAGTAGTCAAGAGTAGCAAAGAGTGGTGTCATTCTCATTTAGTCTGTTGAGAGGATTAGTTGGTGCTTCTGTGAAGCTGCTAGCTAAATGCCACCATTTAGACACAATTTTCATTTTTACTTGCGAAGGTTTAGTAATTCACATGTTCTTTTACTAAGGATAGAGTGACTTTCAGCAGTTACAGTCCTGTATGTGTTTACACTTACCTTAGTATTAACCTTGTAAAAAGCACAATAAGACTGCCTGCACTATCAGTTCCTTGCATACTGTTTTGTTTGTATGACACAAAATAATATCTATGAAGTAAATAGATAGTAGAGTTTTATTCTCTTAAGTTTTGCTTTCCTACAGTTTTAATTCTTGCCTGTCTACAACACTTTTACTCATAAGGACATACCTTTTGAAATTAAAGTACTTAATTAAATTTTGCATGCAAGGAATATAACAAGTCTGGATTAACTATATGCACACAAGTGTGCAGGCTGCTTGATTTTACAGCATTCAGTTACATTTTAGTTTAAGAACACTAAATGTCTTGTAAACATTAAACTGGAAGGGATAGCAACGTAACTAAACGTATTTTTCCGAGCTATTACTTTTTTTTGCACTTGTGCTGAACGTTCTTATGAGGGTTTCTTGTACTCATGATTAAAAATACATTGCGTGCCTAATAATTTTGCATATTACCATATGTTCAATTAAAATTTGCATTTTTACTGAAGCAAGATGCATTTTCAGACAAATTATTTCCAAAGACTCTGATACTATAGTTTCAATGCATTTTTTGCTCTTACATGTCTACTGAGCATATTACCATACCGTGATGCGTTATTACTAGACAGAGAGAATTTTTCATGTGAAGTACAGCGGATTATGTTATGTCAGAGGTTTCATGTCCTTTTTCTGTAGCAATTAATGCAGAAGAACAAAATTTTCAAAGCAGTAAATGTAAATAATTTCTAATGATATAAATGCTGTGTTTTCTTGTTGTGAAAGCAGGGACTGTTCAGCAATCAGTTAACCGCAAGCAGAGCTGGAAGGGTTCTAAGGAGTCCCTGGTTCCTCAGCGGCACGGCCCTTCCCTGGGAGAAGGTGTAGTTTATCGCTCAGAAAGTCCCAGTTCTCAGCCTGATGTAGGAAGGCCATTATCTGGATCTGGCATTGCGGCATTTGCTCAGGCTCATCCTGGCAATGGACAAAGAGTGAATCCCCCACCTCTACCGCAGATAAGGAGTGTCACTCCTCCTCCTCCACCTCCTCGAGGGCAGACACCCCCCCCAAGGGGAACTACTCCTCCACCTCCTTCCTGGGAACCGAATTCTCAAACAAAGCGGTACTCTGGAAACATGGAATATGTGATCTCCCGTATTTCTCCAGTGCCACCAGGAGCATGGCAGGATGGTTATCCACCTCCACCTATGAATCCTCCACCTATGAATTCATCCACGCAGAGTCAGAGAGGCATGAGTGCTGTCCCCATTGGCAGGCAACCAATAATCATGCAGACTTCTGCCAACAGCAAATTTAGTTTTCCGTCGGGAAGAGCTGGAATGCAAAATGGCAATTGTCAGGCAGAATTCATAGTTCACCAGAATGTGGTGTCTGGGAATTCGGTGAGTCGCCAGCCACCTCCATACCCCATGAATTCAGCTAACAGGCAGAGTCCCACAGCACTACAGATGCAGGCAGGAGGATCTGCTCCTCCTTCAGCGTACACCAATGGGAATCTTCCTCAGGCGATGATGGTGCCAAACAGAAATAGTCACAACATGGAACTTTACAACGCAAATGTAGCTGGAATACCCACCTCCTGGTCACAGCCTTCCCCTGTGCAGCCGCAGTCATCACCTGGCAACGGGCACGACATGCCTCCATGGCAACCCAATGTTCCCGTGCGGTCAAATTCTTTCAACAACCATCATGGCAATAGGCAGAGTCACTCTGGCAGCTCTCAGCCTTCGGCCACAACAGTAACAGCCATAACACCAGCTCCCATCCAGCAACCAGTGAAAAGCATGCGTGTGTTAAAACCAGAGCTGCAGACTGCCCTGGCACCCACTCACCCTTCCTGGATGCCACAGCCCATGCAAACTGTGCAGACCATCCCCTTCTCTGAGAGCCCATCTACAAATATGGCAGTTATGGCTCCTGTTGTGGAGGCTCCAAATTACCAGGGCCCCCCACCACCTTACCCTAAACACTTGCTACATCAGAATCCTTCTGTCAATCTGTATGAGGCAGGACCCAAGCTCAACAAGGAGGAGCCACCTCTTTTATCCAGGGAGGATGAGAATGAAAAGAATTACGAATGTGTTGATTCAACAGATAAAGAAAAAAAACAAATCACAACATCACCTGTTCCTGTTAGAAAAAACAAGAAAGATGAAGAAAGAAGAGAGTCTCGCATCAAAAGTTATTCCCCTCAAGCCTTTAAATTCTTCATGGAGCAGCATGTGGAGAATATACTCAAGTCACACCAGCAGCGTTTGCATCGGAAAAAACAACTAGAGAATGAAATGATGCGGGTAAACTCTTCCTTCTTTCTAAATCTGTGACTAGAACTGTTCCTACATTGATTTTAAGAGATATAGCTTAATTGTAGAATGTTTAAATAGTATAGATAAATAGAATATTGTGGTAAATTGTGGTATTGAAGTCTATTTTTAATTTTGTTTTTGAGATGTGGCAAGTTCTTCAGTGCTTAAGTAAGTTTTTTGCATGTCTAAATGTAGTTCATCTGGCCTGTGTACAGTAAGGCAGCAGAAGCAAAATAATTGTTACATGAAATGAGATTCATGGCTCATAGCTTTCTGTTATGAGTTCTATTTAATCCTGATTTCTTAGTTATATGGAATATTTTAATGATTTTCAAAAATACTTTTTTTTTTAAAATAAGCACTGCAGGTACAGGCAAAGCAGGGACAAGTGGTAGGCTGGTTAGTACATTTATATAGTCGCCCAAACAGTGATATTTTTTACATTCTGCAGTTTGTTTCCAGTAGTGATAGTTTTTTTAAGTTAAAATAAAAAAATCATTTTTTAAAAATTAATTTTTTTTAAATGAAAAAGACATGGTATCTTTTGCCTGATTATTTTATAATCCAGGCTGTAAATGCATCTGTTTAAACAAGAGGCAATTGAATGGAGTAATAAAACAACAGACATCAACAAAAGCATGTAAAATGTTGTACCTGCATGGAGTCGGTCATCTAGTTCTAGTATTTCAGTGTTCTATTAAAACAAATCAAAAGGGTAAAAACTGGAGCTGATGTCATTTCAAAAGAGAAAATAGTGAGACGCAGTGAAACTAAGATGTGCAGAAAGATAAAATTGAGATGTCACATAAATATTTCTTAACAATTGTAGTTGAAAGTTTGACATAAGTATGATGTACTTTTTAATTTATTCTATCAGAATATGTATTTGGCTTACACCACTTTCTTGACATGCTGTTTTTCAAATGTATTTTCTTACTATTTTGAAAATTCTTACTTTAAGCTTCAGTCTTTTGTGTTTGCTTAATCGTGAATATGTAAATGTTAGCAAGATTTCATCCTGAAACTCTTACTAGATCTTTATTCTTAGTCTTCTCTCTTTCCTTTTTCACTTCCACTAACAGCTGATTTAAACTGTTAAGGTGTGGGAAGCTTTCCTGAACTCTGTAGCCTCCATCCCTGTGTAGACAAGTAAGATTCTGAAGCAACAGTGTTTATTAAGAATAGCATGATTCCTTTTTAGAGGGCTTTGCATGCAATCCTGCATCAAAATTAAGCATGAATTTATTTTGGCTATTTTTGAGTACTTAAAAGTAAGATTATAATGTTGATTTGCAAACTTCACTTTCCCTTCTTACTGTGTTGTGTTCTGTAGTATCTCAAGAATAAGTATTACTTATATGAAAGCACTGATATAACTTTTCATATGCATTTAAAGCACCCTAGTAAATGTATTTTCTTATATGAAATGCAATTTATAGTATTTATGCTAGATTTAAAGCTGGGATGTTTAATTACAGGCTGAAGGGTGGGAAATGGGCTATTGTGCTGCAGCAGACCTCTACTTTTTTAGAAGAGGAATCCCAAAACAGTGAAGTATATTTTGGATCTTCATGAGAAGGAGAAAGGGAAACTAGCTCGTCATCTATTTTCAGAAAGTTTAAAATTAAGCAAGTATTGAATCCCTTCTTTTCTTCCCTTTGATAGGAATTTTTGAAAGAAAAAAAAAAACCCAAATGCATCCCTATGGAAATACCTACCTTCACAGAAGGTTGTATTTCTAGCATAGGTGGCATATTTCTGTGCTTTCAGGTTCCCTAGGAAATTGAATGGAGCAGTCTCAGAAATATTTAATTTAAATCTGTGAATCTGGCCAAGAATTATGCTAGATGTCTCTGCTGCGGAGAGCAACTTAAGTCATCTTTTAAAGCACAGCAAGATGAAAAGGGACCAAAATGAGAGCAAATTGCGTGATGATACAGAGCAATTCAGGAAGCTCTTCTGTCCGTCATTGTCTAGAAATAACTGGAGATGTATGCACAGAAGAGTTTGTGCAGCTGGCGAAGTTGCTTAATTTTTGGTGAATGCTGAAGCTGAGGAGTGTTTTAGAGAAAATACAGCAATGCAGAGAGCAATGAATTTGTAATTAACATTTGGTTTAGTGGATGACAGGAAAACATGAAGATAGGTCGAGGGAAGAGATGACAAATTGCAGTACTTGGGCTGGTCTCTACAATAAAACTGTTAGAATGCAACAGCTAGAGAGTAGGCAGTAGAAAGTAAAGTTACAAGGGTTTTGGAGACTCTCATTTGTATGTCTTGCAGTGATTAATTACTGTATTGAGTCTCCTCATGGGGTTTTGTTGCCATCTAGGTTATATTCTTTGCTAATTTTGTAACTGATCATCGAGGTTCACTTTGTGTGCAAGTGAGTCTGTACTGAAGCAGACTTCAGGTTTCAGATGGGCCTTGAGAAGGTGACTCGTCATCATCTGAACTTTTAACAGGGTCAGGTCTTCAGTTGTCTTCTTGACATTTTTGTAAGTCTTCAAAAAATTCTTCCTTATGTGTTGAAATGGGCTTTAAGCATGTTCATTCATAGAAAACTTGAGATGTTTCTGTCCTGGAAGACAGTGCCCAGATATTCCTGCAGTAATGTGTTGAAAAAGGTTCAACTCCCTATTTAGAATAAAAAAATTGTCTATTTTGCACATCCAGTCTTTAAACTACTGCTACCCAGTCCTAACTACTGCCTATCTGATGTTGACAAAAAATTTTGTCTCAAAATGGAGACAGCTTTCCCCATTTAAATTTTACTGAATTCATATTCCTTGGGCAGTTCGTTGGGGTAGACAAGCATTTTGTGTGCATTTTTCTAGTTGCATCTCCTTTGGATCCATTTTTTATATGATGCCTGCAAGAAATTTTATGTGTTTTAACAGTATTTTCTTTAATAGGTGACATATAGTAACTTTAGAAAGCATTTTTAAGATACTGATTGATATCTAATTTATCTTTTCTCTTACCTTTTTTCTCAATCAAATCTATTTTACTTTGTTTCAAGTTACATTGCAAATTAGGCAAAGCAGAAGTCATCTATTAACACAGTTTATACAGGCCTAAACTAGTTACATAATCCTAATGGTGGTCCTGAGTAGTGTTCTGCAGACAGTGTCTCAAACATTTGAAGCATTAAGTAAGGAGATGGAAGCAACAAGATTTGGTATCAAGAATCAATAAGATGTGACAGCAAGAAATTGAAAACTTTTAGAATAGTGCTTAATTACAGTTGTGATGTTTGCAGGGATTCAATTTGGCCATGTCCAATTTTAGAATCAGAATGTCCATGAAAAAATAAGGGAATATACCCTAGGCTGAACTTGGAAATCATTGCTGTGGGATAGTGATTTCAAGCCAGGTAGGCAGATAAAATAATTGAGATCCTATGAGAAAGGGAGCATATAGTACTTTGAAAACTCGGTCAAAAAACAAAAGAAGGAATGAACATGAAGCTTTGGAAGGGAAGTGTCATGAAAAAAAAAATATAAAAAATTGAAGACAGGTTCTACTCACATTAAAACAAAAAAGAAGAGAGAGTCTGATTCCAGGCCCTGAAATTTAGCAAGAAAAATGGCACTGAAATTCAATGGCACTTCAAAGGAATTGAAACCAGAAGAAATACACCAGGAGGCACCCAGGTTGTAGTACACTGAGAATGCTCAATGTGGTTCTTGCAGATAAGGGTTTCCACGTTGTAGGTGATGAGTTGCATGTGGCCTGTGAGTGTTTCAGCTGTCACAATGTTGGTGGTGTTGGCCAGAACACCAGGGATGTTCAGTCAAGATAGGGGTATGTATGGAGGTGGGAGCCAAGAAAAGCTACTGTGGGAAGGAGTGAGCCACTTCAAAGAAAGTGCTCTGCTCAACTAGTTCTTGTGGAGAGCGGGAGTGAGAGTGTGAGCAAAGTCCTGTTAGGAAGGGGTGGGTTATGTGATAAGAGAGAAGATCAGGTCTAGGCTTGCGGCAGAGGCACAGGCTTGGTGTGGGTGGATAGTAGGAAACAGTGCCATGTGGATCTGGTTTGTGTAGCTACAGAAGGAAGCATGAGAGTGAGAGAGTTGCCTGTCCTCTCCTGCAGTTGAAATTCCACAGCATGGTCAGGAAGTTTAGTGACTTCTGCTCTAGCTAGTCTGGAGAGGGGCTGCCTTTCCCATGGCAGCATCAGCCCTCAGCAGCTTACAGCTCCTAGGCATGTCTTGGCTCCCTTTAGCTCTACAAAGAGAATCAGGGAGGCAGTTGATGCACACTGTTACTCTGATAATATTCGCAGTAGTTTTTATCAGTGGTTTGTAAATTACCCTTTCTCTCCTCAAGAATGTAGTCCCTTCTCAAGAACCTTCTGGTGCATGGCACCTTATGCATTTTGCTGTTGAAAACAATCACGTTTTGGCTTTTGTCACTCCTATATGTTTCTATAGAATCCTAATGTTTAAAACAAAACCAAACCCCTTTAAGTATTATTTCCTGTGCTGTGTATAAAGCATTTGGTTTGCTTTGCCTAAGCCTTGTAGTTATGAGAAGACCATCAAGAATTAAAAGTACTGTTAATTCTTCATATATAATTCTGTTTGCTGCACAGGTTGGATTGTCACCAGAAGCCCGAGATCAAATGAGGAAAATGTTGTGCCAGAAAGAATCTAATTACATTCGACTAAGAAGAGCTAAAATGGACAAATCAATGTTTGTAAAAATTAAAACCCTGGGAGTTGGTGCATTTGGAGAAGTTTGCCTAGCAAGAAAAGTGGATACTAATGCTTTATATGCGACAAAAACTCTGAGGAAAAAAGATGTCTTGCTTAGAAATCAAGTTGCTCACGTTAAAGCTGAGCGGGATATCCTCGCAGAAGCTGATAATGAATGGGTGGTTCGCCTGTACTATTCATTCCAAGATAAAGACAATTTGTACTTTGTAATGGACTACATTCCAGGAGGTGATATGATGAGTCTCCTGATTAGAATGGGTGTCTTTCCAGAAAATCTAGCACGGTTCTACACAGCAGAACTGACCTGCGCAGTTGAAAGTGTTCATAAAATGGGCTTCATCCACAGAGATATTAAACCTGATAATATCTTGATAGACCGTGACGGTCATATCAAATTGACTGACTTCGGGCTCTGTACAGGTTTTCGATGGACCCATGATTCAAAATACTACCAGAGCGGTAAGAGAAATATAAATCTTCTTTGTAAGGAATTAAATAATAACTGAATAGAAAGATGACTGTGCTGTTTCCTTTCTGAATAATAACGCATCTAACAATATGTCTGCACACCATACAAATTACAGAAAGCAACATTTAGTATGGGAGGGTTCCAATGTGAGCATTGATTCCTTAAGGGAGAAGGAATGAGCTATGCTGCTGTTTGTCCCATTACTGGCTTTTGAAATTTGGAGAGAAAATCACAGAGGTAGCGAGATAATTACATAGGCAACAGCCCCAACTCTGTTTTGAAGATGGGACTGATGTTTTAAATATAATTGTTCTTGAAAACCTTGCCCCAAGTTCTATGTGTCTCATGTACTCCTTTTAGTGTAACCTGTTGATTTCTGAGTAGGTTACAGTGGGCTTTTAAAAATCCCACTTAAAACAAAAGCTAAAAGGAAGAGGAAAAAAAGTCACAGTTCTGAGAGTAGTAAAATACAAATTTTGTGATAACCTGTTTTTAATTTTCAAAAAGAAAAACATAACTTCAGAAACAATTTTTGAATTACTTTTGACTAGTTTCTATCAAAATATCATGTATCTTAGGCCAGACTGTTACACAGTCTCTGGTGAGAAGAAAAAGATTTAATCTGATTTTATTTTTTGCTGATTTTAATACTGGCTGGTTTATGTTTGCGTAAGAACAAGAACAGTATACATCCTGTACCCCCAATGTGGCTTTGTTAAGAAAAAACTGAGACTATATCAAACTTGATACTTTCTCTAGTTATGTCGAAAGTAAGCTTAAAAAAAGTGTCCTCAAAAGTTGGTGTTTTATATCGTAAACAAAAAGTCAACATCCAGATTTGATGACTGTTGTAACTCTCAAGTGTTGAAACTGAAACAGATTCTGTCGTGTAACGAGGAATGTTAACAGATAAAGAAGATTTCGTATTGGATAAGAAGTAAAGTACTTCTTCTCCCTCAATTACAGGTGATCATGCACGACAGGACAGCATGGATTTCAGCAATGAATGGGGTGACCCAGCGAATTGCAGGTGCGGAGATCGGCTGAAGCCGCTGGAGCGCAGGGCTGCACGTCAGCACCAGCGCTGCCTGGCCCATTCCCTTGTTGGCACCCCCAACTACATCGCTCCAGAAGTGTTGTTACGAACAGGTAATGCACTTCTGTACTGTAATCGTGCTGCAAAGTAACTGATATTCAGGTATCTTGCTTCACCTTTCTTACACTGCAGCTTTTCCCAAGTATATAATATTTTAACAACAAAATAAAATAGTTGTTAATGTGGAAATCTTTAAAAAGTATTGAATAGAGTTCTCCTGTGAAATTTTGTACTCCTAGAAATCCAAGATTAAAATTATACTGAGGCTTTGACTACTTTATTTGAACTTTATTTCAGGTTACACACAGTTGTGTGACTGGTGGAGTGTTGGAGTAATTCTCTTTGAGATGCTAGTGGGGCAGCCTCCATTCCTGGCGCAAACGCCCCTGGAAACACAAATGAAGGTAACTTTAAAGTTCTGGTACTGACAATCTGAAAAGGCAGGCTTGAAATTTACATGGGCTTTCTAATTTGTAATGGAAACAAAGGTGATGTTTGAGAGTGCTGCCTATCCAAGCATATTATAAACTAGCAAGATTATCAACTTTATGTTACTTACCTGCAGAGGATTTCCTCTGGTGATGTACCTGCAGGTGCTTGGCATGGAAAGGTGGACGAATAGCAGATGGTTGTGCTTGCTCAGGGTTACTGGCAGCTTGGAGCCATTGGTTCTTTCCTTCCTGAGCCCCGGCTGTTTCAGAGAAAGCATCAGGGCAATCTTCTGCAGGTGTCATTTTTGCAAGATTGCATTCAGCTTGCAAGATATTAGTTGGCTTAAATGTAGTGTAGTATTGATTTATTTTTTTTTAACTTTAAATCTGTTAATCTTTACAGTGCATCATCTAACTCAAAATTCATCTGCCTCACCTTCTTTTTAAGATTGTAAGCCATGTGCCTAATCTCGGGTTCCAGGTGGTGGATTTTACGGAATCTTCATTGTTTTATACCAGGGGCATCCCATGCCAGACTCTAATTTAGATTTGGATTATGCTAGATTTCCAGACAAAACATTCCTTGTGTTTCTGAAAGAGCAGCTCCATGTTTTCCTCTCTAGTATGAAAACCCTTAGACATGTTGAATGATTTCTTTGTGGCTGTTTGTTTTGTTGTTTTAATCTGTTTTTTTCCTTTTTATGAAATTATAAATAAATAATACCTCTTTTTGTTTTTAAGGTTATCAACTGGCAAACTGCACTTCATATTCCACCTCAGGCTAAATTGACTCCAGAGGCCTCCGACCTTATTATTAAACTGTGCCGAGGGCCAGAAGATCGTTTAGGCAAAAACGGTGCAGATGAAATAAAAGCTCATCCATTTTTTAAAACAATTGATTTTTCAAGCGATCTACGGCGACAGTCTGCTTTCTACATTCCCAAAATTGCTCATCCTACAGACACATCAAACTTTGATCCAGTTGATCCAGATAAATTGTGGAGTGACGATGATAAGGAGGGGAACAGAAATGATACCCTTAACGGGTGGTACAAAAACGGAAAACATCCTGAACATGCTTTTTATGAGTTCACCTTCCGAAGGTTTTTTGATGACAATGGCTACCCATACAACAATCCAAAGCCCATTGAATACGAGTATGGTAGTTCCCAAAACTCAGAACAGCAGTCAGATGAGGATGATGATGATGATGAACAGGCAGGTAGAGGAGTTCAGAGCCGTGATCTGGTTTATGTTTAGTAGAGGAATAAAGATCAAAAAGTAAATAATCAATTTTGCAGCTATACCTTTTGAAAAGTCTGTTTTAAGAGACTTGAAAGAAGATTGCTACGGTAAATACATGCACACTTTCTTGGAAACACTAAAAAAATTATGTCTTCTCCTTCCCTGTCAGTACATTTTGTTTCCCCCGAATACAGAGAAATCCTCAACCATTAATTTATTCCAGTGATGTTAATTGTTTAATTTAGAAGAGATTTGATGTTAGGTGAAAAAAATATCACTTGAATTTTGTTATTGGTTCTCTGTACTCTAAGTACTCAAAATAGGAAATAGTGACTTTTTTTTTCCCCTCCCTAAGATGATGCCTGGTATCTATTTGTACATATATTGAATAATTTTAGAAAGCAGTTCTCTGCTTCAGAATTTTTAATGACAGTTTTTCCATGCATTGACCAAATATAAAACCTACTTTACTAATAAAGCTCTCTGATACATTTCTGAAGAGGAAAAAAAAAGGCTGCTGTACCGTCACTTCTCACTGTATTTAACCTAATTATTCGCAGTGTTGGAAAAACAGAGCCATCTATCTGGTGAAACATTTCCAGCTACTGTTTAAGTGGCCTAGTTCTCAGCTTTGAAACAAGAAAGTGTCAGTCTTGCCTATAGGATGATTGTAAGACGATAAAGCATTAAATCTAGTATTTTATTAAATAGTAATTGGATTTGACGTTAGTAACAAAGTAGCATTTGACTGGTACTCTCAAAGCAGAACTGCTCACTCAGAAACAACTTGATTGTCTCCTGTCATCAGTTATCCTATAGATAGAAGAGGAAAAGAAGCTTTAGAAAAAACACTTTCTGAAATCTAGTTCAATTTTCTGACTACAGCCAAACTGTAAAGTGTGTACAGTGCTGCTTGAGTTGGAATTTTTAGTTTGAAAAATAAATTTTAGAGTAGTGTCTTTATTATAAGTTTGAGATAGTAATGGAAAAGGATTATGGCTTTTGAGGCTGTTGTTGTGGAGACCCGTTTCACTTGGCTGGAATAGTTTTCCTCCTGGTCACAGAGACAGTAAGGAGAAGCACCGTGCACCAGCCTATCTGAGCCATCAGTACAGTATCAATGGTCTGTCACAGCCCAGTTCAGAACAGAATTAGGAACTTAGAGCTGTGTCTGCTGCCTTCTACATTACTCTTCCATAATTTCTGGCAGCAGGTGATCAGGTATCCCCTTGGGTCTCATGGTGGGAGGGTACTGAGCCTGTTGAGGTGACTGGGAGTACAGACAGGAGCATCCCTCTAAGCAGCTTCCCGGAGACTGGACTGGGAGTTACAGGTGAGAGGCAGAAAGAATTATGATTTTATCTCTCTCCTTCTTTCTCATGAAGTTAACACAGTGGTAAAGAAAATGCACTATTTTTAGTAAACTTCATGTCTTTTAAAACTTCCTCCTCCTTGGAATTGAATTCCAATGGATAATCTCATAACATGCCTGTAACCATTACTGCTTTTTTAAATTATTACTTGTGCCATTGCACTGGCATTGCAACTATCTAAACATGGTGAAATTGGTGTTCACAGCTATTCTTGCAGCAAACATGAGTTACTAGTTTACTTTTCTCACCAAGCTGGTTTGTTTATTTCTGGCCAATTTGTTCTCTTTCTGTGCTCCAGTGCAGTGTCTCTCTTGGTGCCAGTGCAACTGTCTATAGTGCTGTCCTAAATACTGGATCAGTGAAAAAACTGTGTGGTGTTTAGCATTTGGAGTTTCCTTTCTTGCGTGTTCATTTGAACCATCCAGTTTCTAGTGTGGTCCATAAATGATTCATATTGGCTTAACTGAGGAAGGTCTGAACTGCAGCAGTTGGCAGTGAGGAAACTTCTTAAACATACTTGGTCACAGGAGAAAATGTTTGTGGAAGTTCACTCCTCTACTGTGAAGTGCTTATAATTGTTAGAAGGTGGTTATGAGAAGTTGTTTTCTCAAACAAGTAGTAAGTTACTTTCTGTAATGAAAATGAGTTTGCAGTTTAATAAAACAATTCCTGTTCTGTCTGCCTTTTCCACAGCTGTTGAAATAGAATAGCTTTTAAGATTCATTTAGCTTAAATATTATAAAATGGCTGCAGTGTGTAACTACTCCATTTTATATATTATGTAAAAAAGATTGCTTTTCTTGTAAATAAACTTTAAAGATTACCCTCCTTCATAGTAAGTATCCCAGTAAAACTGGTCTACTTGTCTTAGAGTAAAGTGTAATATATTACTGGTTAAAGGTAATTTAATCAAGCTTGCCTCACCATTTTTGAAGTGTGCAGAGAAAATAATGTCAATTCTTCATTAAATTGACTCTTAAAGTTGCCTTTTCATGTGAGTATATTTCTCCTCTGCCTGCACTGTGCTATGGTATATTCCTGTTTAATACTATTACTGGTCTTCAACCAATTTAAAAATAAATTTAAAAAATATATAAAAAAGGGTCCTGTAATGGCACCATTGTTCTATACAAGCAAACCCAGTTGCTTTTTTTAAAAGACATCATTAATTCTTTCAAGGACATCTGCAAGTACTGAAATGTTAAATATTATTTTGCCTTTTTAAACAAATACATGAAAAGCTCATATCTTTAGAATTTGGTAGATGCTTCTGGCATTTCCTAACATCATGTGTTAGAAGTTGTAATATATGTTGTTTGAATTTTGCCACCTAGATGCTGCAGTATTATGTATTTCCTTGCAAAAAATACAGTTTGTTACAATCCATGTTCACTGAGAAAATTAGTTACATGTAAATGTTGTCACAACTCTCTAACATTCTCTGCCTTACCCATGTTTTGAAACTTCACGTTTCATACGTAGATTCAGAGTCTATTATAGAGATTCTTTATAGCTGCTGCTTAAAACATGGGTGTTTCACTGGTGACCTATGATGGGGATTGGTTTGTGCGGGCAGTGAAGAAGAGAGGCTCCTAACCAGCAGCTGTGGAATTCTGCAGTAAGTTTTAGTTCAGGTTGCTTTCACTTTGTAAAGCATGAAAACCAGATTCTCTTTTATGTGCCCTTGTATACATATTAATTGTATTTATAAAATGTTCTATAATCCTATAACTGTACTGTAAATACTATTTGATATTCAGTGGCATTCTATCCTCGGGCAGGCCCTTTTGCTGTATCTTTTCTATCCTTGATTTGTAATAGAAGTCTATAGAATATATGGCTAGAAAGTGTCTTTGAGACTGACTTACCTTCTGCTGTTGCAAGGCTGTGAGTGGGAATGATTTATTTAGACTCCTTTTAATATTATTCAGCTAATAGACAGTGCAGTGGGTGCGTTCTTAGATGATGATGCTGTCACTGAAGATAGTGTTAGGCTTTTGTTTCAGATGTCATCGGTGTTTCAGATCAGACCTTTAATCTGTTTGCTTTATTTCAGCCAAAGCAAAAAGATAATAAATTGGTTCAATGTCATAGTAAAATGTTTGAATGCCTTAAGATGCTCATGAGAAAGGCACTATTCAAGTTTACTGATTTATATATATCTATAGAGATATATATAGACATATTCCATGTGTGTATATGTATATATATATAATGTCTTTTTTGTATTATAAGACTGTCAGTTCTTTTGGATTCTCCAATTAAATACATAGACCACCGCACAATTCTGTTCATGCAAATCGTTCTTTTATGCTGTGCCTGGCAGGTAAACTTAACAAACTTCCATTATCTCATGGCCCTAGTAAGTTATTCAGTGGTCTTTTGAGTATTCTTTACCTGTCTTGGTCATGACATGGGCATCCCCTTTTGCTAGATCTCTACATACCTGTAGTCCAGCTACATGTGATCTCTGAATGCTTACTTGGGATGTTTGGGTCTTAAGGGTTACAGGGTGCTGGCTTGGAGCATAATCTCCAAGTCCCCTGATGTTCATATTAAAAGAAAGGGCGTCTTTTCTGCTTGTTTTTCTAGTAGGTACACTGGAGCATCTGTACCCTTTGTCCAAGAGCGACAGGTTTCCAGTTTGTCAGTCTGTGCCCGGTAGTTGAGAAGCTGAGACTTCCTTGCCCCCGTTGACTTAGCATACAGCATGTGTGTTTGACCTAGGGGACAGGATGTGAGTGAATGGTTGCACTGACCCTTCTTAAAAGTTACTGAATTATCTCCTACTGGTAGTCAGTGACTTTCCTGAGTTTTAGAAACTGTTTTCTCAGAATCAGTTTCTGTAGCGGAACACTTGCTGGAGTAATAAAAAACACAATGAATCTTTATAAGAAGTGAAAATCAAATTCTTGTTTTGGCTAAGCAAATGTGAAATGCAAACACTAGTTGCCCAATTGCATTTCTTTTCTTTCCTTCTCCTTCACATCTGTCTTCCACAAGTCCCTTTTATGCTGCAGCAGCTTTACCGTCTAACAATAAAATGGTGCAAGTGTAACAGTAGAGATGCTCTTGTACTTGGCAGTCATCTCATGTTTGTAACCTGTTCTCAAAAGTATACATTTTGATGTTCAGGAGTTCAATTTATTGGTACTTTTTCTGTGTCCTCTGCTGCCTTTTTCATCAAAATAAGTAAATATTTTTAATTATTAATTATTGTTATTATTATACATACATTATGTATCATAAAGCTATTCCTTGAGAGAATGACAACATATCACAGCTTTCATCTGTGTTAGGAGGGCAAATTGTCCTTGAGAAAATCCCATTCTTTTAATTGCACATCTCAGAGTGCTAATGGAGAAACCAGTGTGTTATTGCAGAAGACTACATTATATCCTAATTCTTCTATGTTGGGGAGGAGGGATGTGGAAGTACAGCACATTTTTCATTTATTAGCCACATACAAAGGGGAGGAGGAAATACCTTCCCGCTCTCCTCGACCAAGTGATGTCATACAGTAGCACTTCGAATTTTAGAAACTCATCAACATCTTTCTCTGCCTTTATAGCTAAAGTAATGCAGAAATGATTGTTTAAAACTCAGGCACTCGTTAAAGGGATAAACTAAAATTGTCAGTTTAAGAACGGGTAAAAATACAAGAGCAAGAAGAGTAAAAATGGATGTGATATAATTAATTAAAGAACGACATAACGTTGTGGGTCTTTCGAGTTCACCCTGTCACAAACCTGCTGCATTGTGCCCAACCTTTAGATCCTATTTGTTGCTAAGCAGCTGAGTCTATTTAGACAGGTGAGGCGGTACTGCTCCATCAGGGACACTCAAGGGCAGTTTCCTGGTCTTACTCAGCTCGGCAGCTGGCTCTTCTCAGCACCCTCGGATGCGTTTTCTTCCCCAAAACAACACCCTCTATTAAGAGTGCGAAGAGGTAGAGACGAGTTACAAACAAGGAACATGCGAATAAAAGTTGGTGCGTGCTATTCACTCGGCAAAACCCACATTTGTGAGTTATAGAAAGGGAATAGATGAGTGAAGCCTCTCCATCCACCACCGCGCGATATCAGCCAGATGAGCTGGCGCGGGCAAGTTTGCTCTGCTCAGTTTCGAGTGACGAATGCAGGAGCACCGTCGTGCACAGCATTGGTGGTTCAGTGGTAGAATTCTCGCCTGCCACGCGGGAGGCCCGGGTTCGATTCCCGGCCAATGCAGTTGCTCCTTTTCTTCCTACTTTGTTTCTCTCCGCCTGTTTGTTTTTTTTTTTAACTCCCTTTTCCCCCCTTCCTTAAAATTTAAAACCAAACCGGATCATCGCTGTCACTAATAATGCTCAGACACCAACTTCTTGCCCCCCCCCCCGGCCGGGCAGACCTTCACCCCCGGCCTCGCCGGGCTGGAAGTGACGCAGCCGGATTTGCCTTCAAAAATTGCCGGCGGCAGGAGGGGGAGGTGGCGGGCAGGGCCGGGGGTGGGGTCGGGCGTCGCTGGAGGAGGAAGGGGGCGGAAGAGGTGGAGGAGTCGCAGTTGCTGCCGCTGTCGCCGCCGGTCCGAGCTCTGGAGAGGAGTAAGTGAGCGAGGGAGCCCCGCGGTACCTGCCCCGCGCCCGCCTGGCCGGGCGGGGCCGTGCGAGGCCGTGCGATGCCCCCGCTCGGCCCGGGCGGGGGCGATGCCCGGTCCCGCTCGGTGGGGGTCGCCCCGAGGGCTGCCGGGCGCCGGGAAGGCTCCGGCTCCTCCGTCCCGCGGCTGGAGAACGAGCGGCCCCGGTCGCTGCTGTCGGGACACCGGCCACCATTACACGGTGCTCGCCGGTGTTGTTGTGTCGAGGCTGTATCTCGCACGTGCTCGGCGCGGCATCGCCGTGGTGTCCCTGAAGCCATCGGGAGGGGAGGCTGCTCCCCGCAGGTGTGCGGCGGGGCGCTCCCTGCCCCGGGAATCCTCCTGGGTGGGCTGCAGGGCACCGCGGGCGCTGGTTCAGGCACGGAACTCTTGTTCCCACTTTTCCCTTCATCCTCCACCTGTTTTGTCGTTTTGTTTTGTTTTTTCTTAATGAAGTAGTTTGCAATCATCTGCAGTGATGTAAGTTTTCTCCCTAGATAGAGAGAAGCAATTCCACGTGTCCATTTAGCTGCAGACCCTTCAAAACTTTCTGAGAAATTTGCTAATTTAATATAGATCATCAAAAAGAATGCTAGCCCCCCATGAAATGGGGAGTAAGTAACGTGTTTAATCAAGTCTTTTGAAAGGCTTAGCCTGGAAAACATAAAATCATCTGCCACAAGTGTATCTCTGCCTAATGTTTGATTTATGTTTTTTTCTTATCCACGTCTAGGCATGCTTGTGTTCATGGTTGCTGGTGGTTCTTATTTTGCTACCATTATTGTTAAATACAATAAATGGATGAGAACCATTTTAATAAATCTGGCAACTCTTCTCTTTCCCAAGTAATTAACACAGTCACTTCTTGATAACAAATGTTGCTAGCCATGGATGTTATGAAGATGAGTATTAAACTAGAAGGGAGCTCCAAGGTGATGCCATCATGTAATCAGTAAAAATTGATTCCTGAAAGATGTTACTTTGGGGTGTTTTTTTCTCATCTGGCTTGCTGAGAGAACTTTGCAAAATTTACATGATTGCTTTGATGTCAGAGCCTGTATAGCAGGCTGAAATAATGGAAATATGTGCGCTCTGCCAAAATTCAGGCCCTGGCTTAGTCCAGATATTAAGGTTGGACTGAAAGACTCTTGGAAATATTTTCCATGTATGTCTTGTGCTGTTTGCCAAGTCAGCAAGTCCGCTGCAGTAATTTTGGAACTCCAACTTAAATCTTCACTTCCAACATCTGCATTATCAGTCTCTTGATTTTTAAGATTTGGGGGATTTCGTTGTGAAACACGATTGATGTTTGGTGTTTGGTTATAGTTTCCCAGATTCTAATGTATGACTGTGAGCAGAAATTAGTTGTAGTCATTCCTTATGATAATTTCTTAAAGTCCTTATGGAAAACATGAAGTGCCCCCAGTGTTTTCTTGATGGTTATCTGTTACCTTTCAAATGAAATACACAAATACGTTCCAAAACCTCATTCTCAAAAGTTGTAGGTATCTTGAACTTTGGTTAGGTTCAACCCTCTCTGCTCTTGGCTATTCTGTACTCAAGAAGTATTTTACGTCCTCTGAGCAAATGATAAAATGTAGAGATGAGTTAATTTCAAGGAACCTTATATGGCCATAGCTAGTGTAAAGAGTGATTATTGGAAAGTACGTGTTTGTACACAATGTAGAATTAAACTTGCCAGACAAAGTGCTTATTTTCCTTATATCCTGTACTGTAAACTTTATGAGCTCTTTACTATTTCAGTTGCTGTTGGAACATAGATAACTTCACTGGTCATGATTCAGGGAAAGGTCGTGGCTGATAAGTGCAGCCTTGCAGCTTTGACATCCTGTTACGTGATAACACCGAGTATTTGTAAACACATGTGGTATTACTAAGTATTGAACACATGTGATATTACTTTAAAAATTATTAAGTGGTCAGGATTAGTTTTGTGGGTGTTTTAATCCCTTCGGTTCTGGTTTAACTCTAGATTTGTGTATGCTCACGCCTCTCCCACATGTGTCTTACACGCTACTCTGAGCTGCCACAGCATATGGCAACTTTCTGCTGAAAACTTTAACCTAGTTTCAGATTAGTACTCTAACTTCTGTTTGTTTGTTTTTTTTCCTCTTAGAACTGCTTCAGCATCTTCACTTACAGGTGCAGCAAGCCCATGGATTAGTGTATCAGCTCTAAAACTGCCTGTGTTCAAGTGGCAGCATCAGTGGCATGTCCAGACATACGCAGAGCCAGCAGCTTTTTCTGCCTCACTTGTACACAAGAGCCTTGTATTTGGAAGCCACTTCAAGCTCTCCTGCTCTTATGAGTCAAGATGAAGCAACAAATTAAATTGGTTTTCTAGTTTCAACTAAATTCTTTTGCATTTTCAATACCACTCATGAAACAGATAGATTCGAATACCATTATAAACTTGAGTGAGCACCTTCCTTTTTTTTTTCCCTACATGAGTTGCTAGCTCATTCTGCTTATACTTCTGTTTCTACTTTCTGTACTTACTTTTTCTGCTTTTTCTAACCTGAAAATCTCATTAACTCTTTTATTATGTACAGTGCTATCATTTTGGTCCCAAGCTTTCGTATCTTTCTGACTTAGCCTCTTTAGGTTTTTTTTTTTTCCTTCTAGCTATTTTCAGATGAAAACTGATATT